GGCCAGATCAGGAGTTTAAGGCCAGCCTAGGCTACATAATGAATTCAAGGCCAACATGGACTCCTTGAGATGGGGGAGCGAGGAGACAAAGACAAACACCCTACAAGGTGGCTCACACCTTTATTTCCAGCACTCAGGAGGCAGAGACAGGCCAGTCTCTGTGAGGTTGAGGCCAGCCTGGTCTACACAGTAAGTTCCAGACCAACCAATGAGAAACAATAAAGTCAGGCCTGGGGGTTTCACACGTACACTCCCAGCTCTTGGGAGGTGTGAGGCAGCACTTATGCGACGTATTGAGACTCTGTTTCAAGAAAACAAACAATACCTTTCCCTAGGATTGAACCAGGTGCACACTTCCCATGGAGTTCAGCCCAAGTTGCAACAAGGGGCTACAGTTGCAGGGACAGGATGCTACTGTGTGTCAAGTCTGAACAGAAACAAAGATGTTGTCTGAAAATCTTCCAAGGCTCTCCTCTCCTGAGACTGCCCCTCATCCCTGATGCTGCCTACCCACCTAGAGAACCAATCCTACAAGGCAACTATTAAGAGCTCAGCTAGAGCAGGGAGGGATGACACTTTCCCTAGACACCAACAGCCACGGGACAGCCTGGAGTCCACAGGGTCCTCAGAGCCCAGAGAATGGGCACCACACAGCAAGGGAGTGGCCCCATTCCTTTCCTGTCTTCCACCCCTGCCCCCATCAGGCTGTTTGAAAAACCCTGAAACATCTGGGCTGAGGACTGTGAATGCAAATTTCTACAGAGGAGGGCCTCAGTGAGGAAGGTGAACCCTCAGCAAGCATTTGATTTTGTTTGTTTTTCCAGACAGGGTTTCTCTGTAATAGTCCCGGCATTCCTGGAACTCATTTTGTAGACCGGGCTGGTATTGAACTCACAGAGATCCGCCTGCCTCTGCCTCCCGAGTGCTGGGATTAAAGGTGTGCGCCACCACCCGCCCAGCGAGCAAGCATGTTTTATTATTGTTTTTCGTGGCTGGTAGGATTCTGTACATGCGCAGCTCGGGGTCTTGTCTGGCGCCTTACATTATTAACGGGCGACTGTGTCCTCGCCTTAAAAAGCCACCCACAGACCCCCACGCTCTCTCTCTCTGCACTTCTCTTCCTGTGTTTCCTCTCTCTGTCCCTGTTCTGTTCACTCCGCCAGGCCTGGCTCCCCCTGCCCTTTCCCTCCATTAAAGCTCTAAAAACGAATATCGGGTTCTGCTGTAACTCTTCCTTCTGCCTACCCACCAGCGCCGTTCATCCTTTAGAGCAGTGGCACCTTGGATTGAACCCAGGGCTATGTACACCACAGTTGACAAATACTCTACCACGAAACTCTATCCCCAGTTCCTTTATTTATTTATTCTTAACCTCTTTTGTGTGTTGGAGAGGCATGTGGAGACCTGGGGATAACCTGTCCAGAGCTGGTTCCTCCCTTCACTGTGTAGGTCCCAGGGATCAAACTTAGGTCATCAAACTTGGCAGCAGGCTGCTCTAGCTGCTGAGCCATCTCATTGGCCCTATTTATTGAGTCTCTTAGAGGCCAGGCTGACCTTGTACTTAATGTACAGCCAAAGACAATCTTGACATTAGCACAGTGTTCATCCTGGCACATCAAGTCACCTGATAAGCAGACTTGGGTTTTTTGTTTGTTTCTTGAGAGGTTGGAGAGATGGCTTGGCAGGAAGGGTACTTGCCACCAAGGCTGACAACCTGAGTTGGTCAACCTGGGCCCCACACGGTGGAAGGACAGAACTGACTCCTACAAGCTGTCCTCTCATCTCCACATGCGTGCTGTGGCATACACACATCCACACAGATACACAAATCAACAGACCAATGTGAAAATGAATCACGAGACATCTAATTGACTACCAAGCCCGACCTCTGGACAAGGTGGGACAATTTTCTGTAGCTATTCCCAGCAGCCATGTTGTGGGAGGTTGGCTCTGGATAGTTCATGCTTTCGTCTATCACTGTCACTTTATTTACTTTTTAAACAGGGTCTCACTATGTATATAGCCTTGGTCGCCCTAGAGCTCACAATGTAGACCAGGCTGGTCTCAAGCTCAAGAGATCTGCCTGCTTCAGTCTCCCGAGTACTGGGATTAAAGTCATGTGCCACCATGCCTGGCTATCTGTCATTTGTCCTTAATATTTTACAATGTTTATTTATATGTGGGGGAGGGTAGCCCCTTGAGAAGTTATAAGAGGGCACTGGATTCACCAAAGCTAGAGTTACAGGTACTTGTGAGCTGTTTGATGTAGGTGATAGGAATTAATATTTCTGGAAGAGCTGCAAGCACTGAATATTGAGCTATCGCTCCAGTCTCCACCTGACATTTGGGGGGGGGGGGGTGTCGGAGGAGGGGTGGTGAGACAGAGTCTATATAGCCCTTGTTGTCTTGAAACTCATTATGTACACCAGGCTGACCTCGAACTAGGAGGGATTATCTCTGCCTCCTGGGTTCTGGTATTAACGACATGTTCAATCAAGCCTGGTTTAAAAAAAAAAAAGTTATATGTATGGGTGTTTTTGTCAGCATGCCTATCTGTGTATCAGGTGCATGCCTGTATCCAAGGAAGCCAAAAAAGGATGTTGGATTCCCTGGGGGACTGGATATACAGATGGTTGTGACCTACCATGTGAGTGATGGGAACTGAACCTGTCTTTTAGAAGAGCAGCCAGTGTTCTTAACTGCTGAGCCATCTCTCCAGGCCCATCACCTGACATTTCTTAAATACTTCCCAATTGGTCCTAGGCTAGTGGGATGTGTGGAGCAGAACTCAGAGCTGGGAGGGACCAGCAGGCTGACAAATGACTCAGAAAGCAGGTGCTGGGAGGCAGAGGATGGAGCCATGGACGGTTCTCAAGCTCAGCACTGTTGGACCAGAGTGATTTGGCTGAAGCGACACAGGCAGGAGCCTCATCATGGCGGGTAGGGGAAAGAGACACGCGTTGTAAGTCCATTCCTGCCCCAGGCCCCTCCAGACTAAGACGGTAAAAGAGAAAGCTAGCTCAGGCAGCCTCCAAGGGCAGAAATGGACCCAGCCAGTAGGGTCAATAGTGCTCAAAGCTGGCTGCCAGGCAGTCTGTCCTCGATGAGGCCACCCAGGCTCGCAGAAATGTCAAGAGCTTGTCTGCACTGAGCTGGCGCGTCACCTTTGCGTGGGAACAAAGCGCATGCTCATGCTGAGCCTGGGGGGGGAGCAAGGAGGCTGGCAGTGATGTGTTCTTGTTTGGTTTCCAAATAGGGACCCAGAAGGAAGAATCGTGAGATTCCTGTGTCATAGGAAAGATTTGGGAGCCTGGCCAAAGGCGTCCATCTGGACTTGAGCTTAGAAGCCACTGCCCTGCGTCTGGGCCCCTGGATGAAACTGCAGGTGGTACTGGCCCAGCACCTGTGCGGCGAGGCTCTGGCTGAGTTACCACTAGACAGAGTCTTGAGTTTGGTACTTGGTAGATCTTGTCTGACACTCTTGTGACCTGTCCCAGTCCCTGGCCCACGTAGTATGGCAGGACAGGGGTGGACTTACATCTCACTGTAAGACTGCCCACGGTGGCCGGACAATCCTATTAGGAAGCCGACCCTACCCTGCCCAAGGCCACACAACCGCCTCTTCATTTGTCCTAGTTGCTTAACCCCTGTAAGGGACCACTACATGCTAGGCACGGACCTCAGGGCTAGGCACAGCAGTGAATTTCTGAACGAAAGCTGAACGGGTAGCAGAGGAGGGTGGAGCGGGCCTCTCCCAGGAGTTGGCATTTATGCTGAGCCCCATGTGACAAGAGGATCCGGAGCGCTAAGAGATCATTGTTTTTCCTTTGAAGTCAGTGGGTGGGATCCTCTGGGTGGGCTCTCCTCTAGGTCTGCCACCCTTGTCAATACAAACATCTGAGAGTCTTCAGCCTGGTGGGAGAACCAGAAGCCATGCCTGGCCACAAGAAGCCTGGTGATACCCAAGGGCACTCTGGAGTCTTGACTAGGCCCAAGGACACTAACTCTGAGGACCTGACTCCAACTGGTCTGAGCCAGGCAGGTGTTTCAGGTAGCCTAGGGCTGAGTTATGAGAGGGTGAAAGGTACAAAATACTCAAGAGTGTGAGCATCTCTGTCTGATCTAGCCTCAGGGAAGGTGAGGCAGGGGTGGAGAGAGCCCTAGACCAGCATAGGCCACTCGCCTACCTGGCCTTGACACTGCTGTCTAGCTGCTGAGGTTTTCCTGGTCTTAACACTGGGCTCCTCCTCAAGTTCAAAGGCTCCCAGACTCTTCCAGTCTGCCCCAGGCCATCTCACAACCAAGGGAGCCTGGGGGTTGAAAGAACATACTCCCCCAACGAAAACAGGTTCACATGGTACCAGAGCCAGGTGGTACCATAGCCAGAGTCCTACGGCACAGTGCCTCAGCCCTGTGAGAAAAGCTGGCCCTGAGCAGCATGTCTCGGGAGTGTGTGGAGGACCACGGTAGTCCTCAGGACACCTGAGGGCAGAACTGGATAGGAGGAGGGGAGCAGACTCTGATAGGAAGCTTTGCGAATACAGCCCTCTGCTAAGAGTCTCTGCCCAGCGGAGGGGAGGACGTGGGACCCAGTGACTGTAGTGGACAGAACCTAGCTTTGTTCCTGAGCAGACACAGCTTTTCAGCCTGCAGGCAGGCAATCCCGAGAAGGATGAGTAAAGTCCTCAGATGAGAAGCAGCATGCTAAAGATATCCTTCCACCAAATAAAGCCAAATAAAACCAACCAACCAGCGGTGAGGGGGCAAGGCCCCTGACCGGTGACCCAAACACCCCACCCCCATCCCTGGGCTTGCTCCCTGGGGAGAACAGCAGCACTGGCCTCTTTAGCTCAGATGGCAGGCCTGTGGCAAAACCCAGGCTCCGTGGGTGAGGGCGGTGATGTGGTATTGTCATTTACCAGTGTGGTAGACTCGGTTCTCAAACCTCCTGAGCGGAACAGGAGGCAGTCACCTGGGCGCTTAGGTTCGAGACAGACAAGTGACACACCATTATCTTTAGTTCACTGAATTAGGAACATGGCTCTATCTCTAGAGACCAAACAGCACCACTTTCCTGGGGGAGAATCTCCTTTGTCCCAAGTCTTCGTGCATCGGCTGAACCCTGCTCACCTGCAGGGCAGGCGGCTGCCTAGTGGAGAAGAGCAAAGAAGGCCTCCTCCTCCTCTGCTTCTACCCACCCTCCAAGGAACCCCAGCTTCTCCTCGGCACTGGGGGAGCAGCCTCACTTTAGAGACATGGAATCTGAGTGAGAAGTAATCTGAACTGGCCTTTGCCAACAGGAGACACACTGGACGCTGCCTAGCGGCTGCACACACCAAAAAAGGGGTTGCGAACACCACAGTTACAAGGCCACAGATTTGAGCCTGGACTCCAGTCCTGATGGCAGGGCTCAGGCAAGGGAGCACCATGGCCTGCTTCCTCCTCTGAGCACGGGGGCGGCCATGCCGCAGGCAGCCATGTGGTTGCCCTCCTGATTGGAGGCAGGAAACTTCTGTGAACTGGTCCAACTCAGGGTCTGAGCGGCACCATCTTTCCCCTTCATGTCCAAAAACATCGTCCCATCCTCAGTGCCAGTGGCCTTTCTGGGTGGGCGAGAACTTCTTCCTCCCACAGCCACTTTCCACTCTCCTTTCAGCAGAGCCAGAGTCAAGCAGCTTCTTCATCGGCATGAAGTCACCGCACTCAGCACTCCCCATCACAGTCTCCCCAGTACCAGCTGGGAGGAGGGCTAGTGGGCATTTGCTTCAGACTTGGCCTGCCCTCACCATCTGCACCCCGTTGGGAAGCCGACTCCCCGGGTTAGCTCAGCTGCCAGCTGGCTGTCCTGCAGCCCAGGACTCACATTCCTTGGCCAGCTCTCTCTGGTCCTCCCCAGTCCTGCTCTCCTGTGGCTGTTACAGGCCCCACTGCTTTCCTGGCTTTCCTAAGCTTTTCCAGTGACAACCAGGGACAGGCACCCACTCCAACTGTTCTCTACTGTGGATCTAGGAGTTTAGGCTGAAAGAGGGGCAGGGGATGGATAGCCATCCAGAAGCAAGGGGCACTAGCAGAGGTCCCGGGCTATTCCAGGGGAGGTTGAGGCAGGGAGGGCAGTCTTGAGGGAGCAGTGTCTGTCAGGCCTGTGGTAGCTGGGGTCCACAGGACAGCTTCTTGCTATTCTTTGAACATGTCGGAGGCACTCTTGATGGTTTGCCAGCCACCTGCAGCTTCTACACTTGGCCCTGTCTAAGGATGCCTGTGGTCTGGCCTCCAGCCGCCGTGTGGACCAGCAATGCAGTCTGCACTCAGACCACCGCCCAGAGTCATGGTGTAGAACCTGCAGCACGTCAATGACTCGTTGCCCACTGGTTCCATGGCACCTGCAAAGGTCAAGAAGCTTGTCCTGCCTTGGCACTAGCCTTCTGTGCCTACACAAACTTGCGCCAAGACTGCTCTAAGGCCAGACTAAGGTGCTGTCATCACGCTCTGCTCGCCGTGGTCCACACTCCAGAGGCGGTAAAACTCAGCAAAGTCCACATAGGGCTCAACACGGCCGTCCTCACCAGGTGGGAGTGAGTGAGCAGGTCTGGAGCGGAAGAGGCCCCCATCGGAGCTGGAGCTGCTGCTCTGCGTGTGTGTGTTGGTGGATTGGAGGGTCAGAGTGGGGCTCTGGCTGCAGAAGAAGAGGGGAAGGATCAGTCTGGGGTAGCTGCAGCAGGGACCCCAACTTCCAACCTAGAGACAAGAGTGGTTCTTTAGCCACGGGCCTCTCTGACAAAGATCTCATAAAAGCCAGCTGGACAGATGTTCTTAGAGACAGATAAAAGGGCAAGTGTACTTATTTGTTTTTTTTTTTTTTTGAGAGTCTTGCTATATAGACAGGAACTCTTGATCCTCTTTAACTCTCCCAAGCGCTAGATCACTAGCATCCACCATGAACAGCCTTCAAACTGTTTTTTCCTTTTCTGTATGTGTTGAGGGGTGCCCACAGAAGCCAGAAGGCAGCATCTGACCCACTGGAATTGGAGTTACAGGTGGTTGTGAACCACCTGATACAGGTGCTGGGAACTGCTGCAGGCCGCAGGAATATATCATAAGAACTCAGCTGGTTATGGGAAAGTCACTACCTGGAGGAATCAGGGAATTCCTCCAGAGGAAGCCAAATCCCAAGGAGTTTTTGGTGTTACTTGGCTTGTTATATATCAGCTGTCTTCTGTTATAAAAATCATGTGTGCCTTCATAGTTTTCCCAATTGACTAAGGAGTTTTGTGTACATAGATTCATTTCTTTTCATCAAAGATTAATTATCAGCTGGTTATAGATTCTTCCCGGACCCTGGGAGGGGACTATCGAGGGGCTGGACCCCCATAATCCCTGATAGGGAACCACTCAGGTCCACTGCAAGAGCAACAAATGCTCTTCACCACCGAGCGATCTCTCCAGCCCATAGTGTTTCCACAGCACCCTTAACACTGTGGTAAGAGGAACGCTATTGGGGATTGAACCTAGGAGTTCATGCATGCTAGTCCACTGCCTGCTCACTAAGATACATCCACCAGTGGCCCACCTTTCTTCACAGAGCTTGCTATATGACAGCTCAAGGCTGGCCTAGGTGACAGAATAAGGCTCAGCACCAGGAGAGGAGGAAAGCTGTGAGGCTTGGGGAGTCAGACAGAGAAGCATGAACTCTTGCCTGGTCAGCTTTGTGGACACAGCTGGTGGTTTCCTGGGGAAGCCTGGTGGGGAGGAGAGGCTACCCATGGTTCCCAGATGTCGATCAGCCCCTCCCATCCACAGAGGTGGCTGCAGGAACAGCAGCAGCAGCAAAGACTTAGGGACAGAAGGGAGGCCCTCTCAAGAGGCAGAGGCAAACAGGACACTCCCTCCCCGCCAGCCCTTCTAATTGGCCACATCCGGCTAAGTTCTATCCATGTAGAGGGGCTGGGTGTGGCAGCTGTATTATTCCATCAATGTAGGGCTGGAATGTGGAAACCAGATCCCCCTGGAGGGGCCGGGTGGGGGCAGGGTGCACAGTCACAGAAATCAAGGGGGAGGGTGGCCCACAGACCTGTCTGGCAGGTCTGCACTTTGCCCCTCCTCTCAGGCCATGGCCTCCATCCCCAGTGCCCTTTAAACTAGACAGCTGACAGGGATGGTAATGAGGGAGAGAGCAGCAGCTCTGAGGAGCCAGTACAGGCCAGGCAACGTCCCCAACTACAGATGCATGAAACCAGTGACCCTCTGTCACAAGCTCCAGAACAGGAGGAAAACCAGAGAAGCTGCCCACGGATGAATGCTGGCCCGAAACACCATCAGTCAGCTGCCTCGCTCCTTTCTCAGGCCTCCTTCTCTACCCTGTCCTAAACCTCCACCTGCCCCAGGTCCAGTTTTAACACCTACTAGAACTAATGAATGTACAGCTCCTTCCTGCCTGTGTCTAAGGAGACTCCTGTGGGGAACTGGAGAGGTCCAAGCCTCCAGGGTCCCCAGACCTCAGGGCCTCCCTCATCCCACTCTACTGGGCCCCAGGGCTTGATTGCACAGCTCTCTCTGTCCAGGCCCCCAGGACTCTCTCCAGAGTACAACAGCTTACTTGGTGAGGGTGGGAGTGGCTTCATCCAGGGTGGAGGCACTGTGGGCGCCATTGACCATCTGGCCCTGAGAAGGCATGACGAGGGAGAGTGTCACACTGGTCTTGCTGGTGTTCTGGGCACTTGAGTAGGGCACAGAAACAGGGTACACACGGCCCCCTGCAATAGGAGAGAGAGAGAGAGCAGGAGGAATGGAGATAAGTCTGGAGGGAAGCAGGGTAGTAGGTTCGAGGCTGCTCTTAAGTGACAAGGGCTAAGTGAGAGCTAAGAGGCACCTAAAGGCCCAGCATGGCCCTCCACCCTTGGGTAGATGTTCCTGAACGGCGGCAGTGGAACCTCCCTCCAGCAAGGAAGCCCACTGAGGCTCGAGGCAGGAGTGGAAGGAAATGCTGCCCGGCCTAATGAAAGGGTTACTGCCTGGCTTTGCACAGATGCCTCAATCCAGAGGGTAGTCTGTTTCTAGCTGAGGCTGACCCAATGAAAATATGGTTGCAATAACAGGCCAGAGGGACTCCAGGAACCCGGGTGTCCATGGGAGAGCAAAACCATGCGGAGGCGGGAGCTCCAGAGTTTGCTTGTTTAAAAACAGAAGGAAATATAGCCCTCAGGACCAGTACAGAAGGTCTGACCTCTGTCCAAGCAACTTTATTCAAGGACTAAAGAGGAAATAGGGACAGAGTGAAATGTCTCCTCAGCCCAAAGTGGTCCGACACAGTGCCAGGTTCTGGGGTGGACCATCTGTCCCCACACCTGACCTCATCCAGGTCCCATCATGCTAGAGCCTTTCCCTTTCCTGTTAGGGTTGCTAAAGAGGGTGAGAAGTGACCACGCTCCTGGCAGGGCACAGGCTAGGAGGCACTCCACCATCAATGGTGGCAACTATCACCTCTGCTACCTGCCTTTGTGATGGTACATGGTGTGCTCATGTATCAAGACTTTAGGGGTGGCCACTTTAGGGGTGGCCCAGGCCAGTGATATTATCCTCATTGTACAGACAAAAGGACTAAGGACAGACTTGCAGCTCAGAGTCTATACATCTGGCAGCCTGTGCTGAGCAAGGCCAGGCCACTGGTTCCACCTGCATTCCCAGCAGTGAGCTCACCTCATCCCACTCTGCACTGCCTCCAGCCCAGGACTCATCTTAGGTGCTCCTGTCTGTACAGCAGATGGCATACATACCTGGGGCCGGGGTTGGTGCAGGCTGGCTCATTTCACCCAGTGGGTAGCCAAAGTTCCTCACCAGCAGGGTCATGTCTTCATGCCGTGGGCAGAACTTGGCACGCTCCCCACCACTGGCAAAGGTGTCACTGTGGATACGCTTCACACGGTCTACCACAGCCTGGGCCACTGCATCCAGGGAGGTCTGCTTAGCAAATTCGGTGTCAATCATTGCGGCAATCTCCTGGGGGTGTGGAGGGAGAACTTGATGGGGAATGCAACGTGGCCCAGGGGAAGGCGCCAAAATTCCAGGGCCCAGTGTAGGAGACTCAGGGATCACTAGCCTAGCAGGTGAAGAAAGTCTCTGCCAGTTAAACTGTAATCTGAGCTTTTCAAGCTGTTCAGGATAATCCTTCTGGAACACACTGTGTAGAAAAGGTGTGGGAGCCTGTGATCTCTCTACTGGCTTCCATGCCTCTAAATGGGTAACATCCACCTCAGTGGGATTACATAACCTAACGGATGCAAGGGCGCTCTGAGGACTGCTAAGAAATGCAGGGCAAAGGCTGTGATTATGCCATCTTCCCGGAGAAAACACCTATGCTACGTGCAAGGCATTTTGTCAGGAACTGCCCTCCAAGAAGTCCTCTGTCCGGTGTATTCTAGAACCTAGTAGATGCTTCTCAGTGCATCTATTGTGAAGACCAAAAGGGAAAAAAAAAAAAAAAATCACACTGAATGATCAAAAGCTCAGCAGATGTGGTGGTATATATGTTTGTCCTCCAGCACTCAAGAGGCAGACACAGGGGGATCACTGCAAGTTCCAGGCCACACATAGTGAGACCCTGTCTCAAAAAACAAAAATGAACAAACAAAACCAAACAAAAAGACCAAAAGCACAAACTCACGTCCTCTGCCTGATGACGGGCTGTCACATCCTGGGGGTGGGGGGCGGGGAGCACCAGGACCTGGCACTGAGGTGTGGCTGTGTCTGGCCCGCCACACCACCTGAGACAGGATCCTAGACCTCCTCTGTGAGGAAGTCACCACTGGCCCTCTATGCTAGAGGCTGCTGGAATGAAGGACGAAATATAATGGGCAGGAAACCCTGGACACAGGGACTAGGTGACAGACAGTCAGGCTTTAGTGAGCGGAGGAAGCAAACTGAGGGCTATGGGACACACCTGTGAACCCCAGCACTCAGGAGGCAGAGGCAGGAGGATTCCAAATTTAAGGCCAGCCTGGACTACACCACTAGTTTTAAGCTAGCTTAGGCTACAGAGCAAGATTCCATCTCAAAATGGAGAAAGAAAAGGAAAGAAAGAAAGAAAGAAAGAAAGAAAGAAAGAAAGAAAGAAAGAAAGAAAGAAAGAAAGAAAGAAAGAAAGAAAGAAAGAAATAGAAAAAGAAAGGAAGGAAGGAAGGAAGGAAGGAAGGAAGGAAGGAAGAAGCAAAGCAAAGCAAAGCAGAGCAGGGAAGGATAAAGGATTACCTTTTCACACGTACAAGAACCATACCAAAAAAAGAGGAGCGGGCAGATCTGAACTCAAGGAACAGGCAGCTCCCCTTCAAATGCCTGCCCAGCATTGTGTCACAGGCCTGTATTCCTTGCTACCTAAGGAGCTGGGGCAGGAGGATGCTGTTTGAGGCCTGCCTGGTTTACAAAGTAAGTTCAAGCCTAGCTTAGGCAACGGCTTGTCTCAAAACAAAAACAGAATGGGCTGTGCCTGTAACTCAGAGGTAGAGTGCCTGCCAAGCAGCCTCAAGGCCCCGAGTTCAGGGCACAGAACACACAGGTCCTGTGTGACCCTGGAAGTCTCTCTGACGGCCACTGTCTGTCTGTCTTGTATCTCTAAGGTGTAGAGAAATAAGGAGCTCCCAGTGACTGAGTAACTTTGTCCTCTCACCGTGGAGCTCCCCATAGTCCCCAGAGGGAGAATCTGCCACACGGGAGGCAAAGGTAGCCCCAGGCCCAGTGGGAAGGGAAATGAGACCAAAGCCTGGCAGCATTCTGGGCAGCAGGCCATGGCCCTTTTCTTTTCTTTTCCTTTCTTTTCAGTTTATTTTATGTATGAGTGCTCTATCTGCATGTACACCTTGTGCCACAAGAGGGCATCAGCTCTCACTAGAGATGGTTGTGGGCTACTGTGTGGTTGCTGGGAACTGAACTCAGGACCTCTGGAAGAGCAGCTAGTGCTCTTAACCACTGAACCATCTCTTCAGTCCTGTCAAGGCCCTTTCTGACTCTGTTACCTTCCTTTCCTGAAGCCCCAGAGGCAGTACAGTTCCCATCTTTTTGCTTCAGGTCCTGGCTTTGAGCCCTAAAAATATGTCTGGTGACAGTACTTGGGAATCAGGGCTCCGGGTCACCAGCACACTGCCCATGGGTTGGCCTGCTGTGCTCCATGCCACTTGCTTGCCCTACCCAGCTCACCTGGTTGGCCTGCCCGGGTCCATGGGCTGCCTCCAGGGCCTTGTACAGTCCCTCGGACATCAGCACCAGGAAGCCTGTCACGCCATCCAGAGGCTGTGCGCCATGGATTTCCGGCTCCGCGATGATGGGTTTGGACTTGGCAGCACTATGGGAGAGTGGAGTGAGGGCTTGGTGTGGAAAGGTCCCCAGGGGGCACTGCTTCTGCTGAGGGTAAGAGTCTACACTCAGAACAGAAAACATTTGACTTCCTAAGAGGGAAAGCAGAGCTGTCTCCTGAGGCAGCCCCTAAAGTAAAGCCCAGGGGCATGAAGACAAAGGTCAGAGGGCAGATTTGGGCTCCATTCTGGGCTTCCTGCCACAGCCTGGTGTGCGGCAGGGCGGGGTGGAACGGAGCATCAAAATGGCTGTTACTTATGTACGCATTAACTGACAAGGTCTCGAGTAGCCTCTGCTGATTTACATTTATGTACCCAAGGATGACTTCGGGCTCCTGATGTTCCTGCCTCTACCTGTCAAGTGCTGGATGACAAACCTGGACCACCACGGCACCTGGCTGGGAGGTTATCTTTCAAAGGCCTGCATGTCAGCTGGGTGATGCCATGGATGCCTGTATTCTCAGTACTTGGGCAGCTGTGACAGGAGGAGGATGTCACAGTCAACACAACATAGGCACTACTATGGGTCATCTCAGTCTGGGTCACTAGTAAGAGCTATTTTGAAATAAAAATAAATTTAAAAGCAAATAAAAGCCCATCCTCTTGCTATAACTTGAACTCTGCCAAGATAGTATCTATTTCAACTAAGATCCCATATAATACCATGGCAGATGTGTGTCAATCATTATAGTGTCAAAACACTCTAGCACATGTGTCCTGTGAGGACATTTTTGACAAAACACTGCGAGGAGGGAAGTCTGGGAACATCCGCAGTGTCATTACTCGGGGTTGCTCAGGTAGAGGCTGACACAGCCATCTGCTGGAGTCACCGAGTGTCATTACTCGGGGTTGCTCAGGTAGATGCTGACACAGCCATCTGCTGGAGTCACCGAGTGTCATTACTCGGGGTTGCTCAGGTAGATGCTGACACAGCCATCTGCTGGAGTCACCGAGTGTCATTACTCGGGGTTGCTCAGGTAGAGGCTGACACAGCCATCTGCTGGAGTCACCGAGTCTGTTATAAGGCTCGAGGCAGCTGTGCAGGTGTGGAGGGACAGACACCTTCATGGAAGCAGAGGCACGTGACCTGTCCTGACCACCCTGAGCTGCTCCTTGTCATGTCAGTTAGATATTCATAAAGTGGTTCAGGGAGAAGACAGAGGTAGAGCTTGGGGGTGCACCCTCGCTCCCATGACACACAGAAGCACACAGTGCATGTGTGTGTGTGCTACAACATCTGGAGGCAGGATACAGAAGGGACGAGCAGCCTCGGGGTGGGGGGTGGGGTCTGGCTTGGGAAGGAAGGCTGCACGTACCCTTTCTGAGTGTTTTAAGTCACAGACCTCCTACCCCATGAAGTAAATAGAACCCTGCAAACTAGGGGCAAAGCTTTCCAACACTGGACATTCAGATTCTGGGAGGAGAAGGAATGTTAACTTAGCCAGGAAGCCTGGCCTTGCTGAGGGAGTCTCTGGTAAATTTTTCTGGCTGTGACACAATGCTGGAGTGGCACCACCTAGGCGCTTGTGAGAAGTTACCCACCACAGCTAGCCAGAGGTGAAGGACCAAATTCAGGCTGCCTGGGCCCACCACCAATACCATGACTGGCCAGGGTCCTGAATGTCTCCATGCCTCAGTTTCCCCTCATGGACATGCCTGTGGGTTAATGACAGGACCCAGCTTAGAGGGTCTGAGGAGGAGGTGGACAAGAGGCCATGCATAAGGAGTGAGCACACTAGGCATAGCAAAGGCTCACCAGGACCATCACTGCCGTGGGGACTTGGGTAGCCCAGGCTACCCAAGGGAGCGGCCCTGGAAGGGAATGGACGAGTCATCCCCCAGCTCTACCTGGCCTAAGTCACAGACAGGGACTAAGAGCCCTTTGGTCTTGTCAGCTCCTGTTCACGCTGGCACCACCGCACGCGGTCACTGGACCCTCCCGCCAGGCTCTGTGGCACTTTTGCTGCCCTGGACTTGGTGAGTTCCATCCTTGACCCTTGTGGGCCTCGCTCACAGGACCAGACTGCTGGCCTGGGGCCACTCCACACGGAGGCAGAAAGTATCTTCTAGGGCCCATAGCACCCCTGCCGCTGCAGCCTGGGATCTGTTTTTACCCCAGCTCCTCTGGTCTCACAAATGGCTGGGGCTGCAGGGATGACCACCTACCTGAGCAGGTCAATGTCAGTGTAGCCGTATTTGACCTTGTAATCCCCAATGCGCCTGGTGCTCTCCTGTCCACAGATGACGCCCACCTGCTTGACCTTGCCTGCATCCAAACCTACCGAAGAGAGGACAACTCGACAGGCCCCTTCCTCCTCGTGAAGAGTGGAAGGGGGTGGTGACGAGACGGCCACACACCCGGTGAGTGAGGACAAAATAAAGGGAAATGGAAACGATGCCCAGGTACCACAGAGCGCAACAACCCAGTGTCCCCATTCTCAGTCCCTAACCTTAAGGGAACAACCCTCATTCGGGCCCTGCTATGGCTGGAGGGTGTCATGTCCCCATGGCCTCATGTGTCTGAACACTTAGCTCCTAGCTGGTGGTGCTGTTCCGCGAGGCTATGGAACCTTTTGGATATGGGGTCTAGCTGGTAGCAGGACTGCAGAGTGGGCTTTGGAAGGTATAGGCTAACCAGCTTCTGGTCCTCTCTTCGCTTCCTGATTTGCTAAGATTGAATAATTAGCTGTCACAGAACCCTGCCCCCACAGGTGGAGACTCAGCCACCATGCCTTCCCATCATGACGGACAGTATCCCTTAACAGGATTAGTCAAGAAAAGCCCTTTCTCTCTTCAGCTACTTCTGTCAGGCATCTGGCTGCAGTGAAGAGAAAAGTAACTCAAGTTAGGCTTCTCCCTGCAGGCGCTGTAGCCCTAGTCAGTGCGGTCCTGTCTGCCTCTGCTCAAAGCCCACAAGGCAGCCATGTCTGCAGGGCTGGGAGGGAAGGGAAGGCTCCAGCCACACTGAGACTGCAGGGCTTTTCTGCTCTCTTGGAATCTCTCAGGAACAGGGATCTGTGCCTACGACGTTCCAGGCACTCCTCTGGGAAGCAGTTTACATTCACTAACTCTCCAAAGGGGGTTACCACCACCCTCAGCGCAGATGAAGAGGTTCCCACGCCACAACGGTCCAGCAGCAGATGCAGCCCTGGCTACAGGCCCAGTCCTTCTGGCATGCACCTCCCTCTCCCAGTCACCAAAGGAAGGTGCAGAGGGAGCCCAGGAGCTGGCCTCCCTGTTCCCACAGGTCCCCGAGCCCCGTCTCCCCACTCACCCAGTTGTGAAAGACGGAAGAGCTCATCCTCGTTCTCCGTGGTGTGGTCCACGTTCAGCTGTGTCACCTGCAGCCCATCCACCGTAGATTTGCACAGAAGGGCCCGGTTCGTACCTGCGGCACAGTGTGACCAAGAGTAAGCCGAGGGAGACACAGCACCCACCGACACAACAGGGGGGACATGCAGACGTCACACACCAAGGGGCTCAGACACGGGGTGACTCGCCAAGCAAGGACAGCTGAATCAGGACGGAAGCAGGCTACATGTTACAGTGTGCTCAGAGGACTGAGCTTACTAAGATACCTGTCCTTAGGGACCGATACCAAGTCTGCAGATCATCATGGCACAGTCTCTGTGGTTGCTCTCAAACCATTTGGGAAGAAGGGGCCCTGGAGGAAACAAGACTGGCCACAGGACAGTAACTGTCGGGGCTGGAATGGGGCATGTCGGTTCACTAACTACTATTTACCAGCCGTTTTACATTCTGCAAGTTGATCCCTAAGGAAATCTTAAGAAAAGGAGGAAGAGGAGCTGGAGAGATGGCTCAGCGGTTAAGAGCACTGGCTGCTCTTCCAGAGGACCCAGGTTCAATTCTTAGCACCCACATGGCAGCTCACAATGGTCTGTAACTCCAGTTCTAGGGGATCTGACACCTTCACACCAATGCACATAAAATAAATTTAAATAAACTATTAAAAAGAAAGGGAGAAAAAGAGAGAGAGAGAGAGGAAGGAAGGAAGGAAGGAAGGAAGGAAGGAAGGAAGGAAGGAAGGAAGGAAGGAAGAAGAGGAGCGGGCTGGAGAGATGGCTCAGAGGTTAAGAGCACTGGTTGTTCTTCCAGAGGTTCTGAGTTCAATTCCCAGCAATTACATGGTGGCTCCCAACCATCTGTAATGAGATCTGGTGCCCTCTTCTGGTGTGCAAGCATACACACAGAACACTGTATACATAATAAATAAAATCTTAAAAAAAAAAAGCGGGGAGGGGGAGTGAGTCAGGAATGCCATGAGCCCTAATGGTGGTTTGAAAGAAAATGGCCCCCAAAGGGAAAGGCACTAATGGGGGGTGTGGTTTTGTTGGAGGACGTGTGTCACTATGGAGGTGGGCTTTGAGGTCTCATATAAGCTCAAGATATCACCCAGTGAGACAGTCTCCTTTCTGTTGCCTTCTGATCGAGATGCAGCCAGCACCATGTCTATCTGCATGCTCCCCTGAACTCTAAGTTGCCACTCCAATTAAACATGGTTCCTTTATAAGAGTTGCTGTGGTCATGGTGTCTCTTACAGCCCTGACAGTGACAAGCATCCTGCACCAGCTCTTGGGTCCCCTGACAGCCCCTCCTCTGGCCTTAAATACCAATGTCCCTGTCACCCAGCTTCCTGCTGTTTTGGAGAGTGCAGAGCAGGCCTTCACTCTAGGTAACTTCTTTGAAAAGAAGCAGCCATGGGGCAGGAGGTGTTGGGAGCATAGAGGTTCTTACACTCATAGATAGCACTAGGGAAATCAGGAATGTCAGACATGCAGGGTTGTCTCTTCAAAGGAACAGATACATAACCTGTTTTCTGGAAACGGAGGTACTTAACAGCCTAGATGACCTCTGTGCTATCTTTAGGGCCAGGTCATGTGTGGCTCCTCCAGGACCTGACTCAAGTGGTTAATAGCTCAGATGACCTCTGAGCTCTCTGTGTGCCCAAGACCACCCCAGATCCTTCCCTAGGTCCTTAACAAATGGAGCCTATCTACAGAACACATTTTCATGGAAGAAGTGACTTGTACTTGGAAAAGTTTCACCGGGTGTGGTGGCATATGCCTTTAATCCCAGCACTTGGAAGGCAGAGGCAGGGGATCTCTGTAAGTTCAAGACCAGCCTGATCTACATAGTGAGTTCCAGGACAGCCAGGAGAGACCCTATCTCAAAAAAAAAAAAAAAAAAAAAAAAATGAAAAGAGTTTTGATATAATTATACTCTACTGTGCACACGGGATTGTGTTATACTTGGAAACATTTTTCCAAACTGTACTGTACTTAAATATGCCTAAAATAAACTGCCTGGTGTCAGACTCTAGCACAGTGGTTCTCAACCTTCCTAATGCTGATACTCATTAATACAGTTCCTCATGTTGTGATGACCCCAACCATAAAATTATTTTATTGCTATTTCATAACTGATTTTGCTACTGTTATGAATCATAATGTTAATATTTATGTCTTCTGATGGTCTTAGGCAATCCCTGTGAAAGGGTTGTTTGACCCCTAGGTTGAGAGACATTGCTCTAAAAGTCTGAACCAACAACAGGCTACTGAATCATGTTGAACTGGATTTGCCTCACAGGGATTAGATCATTACTCTACTAGCCCTGGTGTCTGCAGAGACCCACACAGAAATGGCTCAGCAGTTAAGAGCACTGGCTGCTCTTCCAAAGGATGCAGTTCTGTTCCCAGGACCCACATGGTGGCTCACAAACCATCTTTAACTCCAGTTCCAGGGGATCAGATGCCCACTTCTAGCCTCCACAAGCACCAGGCACACATGTGGTATACAGACATACATGTAGACAAAGCACTCATACACATAAATTAAAAACAAAAATAAAATGGATGCAATTCATCCAAAGCCAGGACACCTGCCCTGCCTCATCTGCTCGCCTTCCATCTGGGATTGACATACACAACAGCGTGAGGGGGGAACAGGCCCAGCAGCCCTGGGAAGCTCGGGGTATGCATGCACAGAACGCAGGTGGGTGTGGGGCGGGTGGTGGCTCACCAACATTGGCAACGTAGAGCTTGTTGTTGAGAAGGACTGCCACGACGGCCATGGCCCCTCCTGAAATCTCCCTCTCCAATGCCTTGAGTCTCTCAAGGATCTTCTGATACTGAGGTGGCAACTGGTGTTGGGGCACACCCTGTAAGTCATCAAGAGAGATCAGAGCAGCACAGGTGCCTGAGGACCATCTTACCAATCCTCTCTTTCCCTGAAGATAAAGCATGTGAGGGCCCTGAGCAGCCAAGACAGACAGATGACAAACAGCAAAGACAAAGCCAGGCTGGATACCTGGAGGATGCCTGGGAAGGCCACTGGTGCTTTAACCTGAAGGTGATCCTGACTCTGGACTGAACCAGATAACAGAACCTAGAGAGGCCTTTCCTTCCACCGATTTCTGCTACCCAAAGATGATCCTTGGAAAAAAGCTGCCCACTGCAGGCCAAGAGTCCCATAGGGATACACTCACTGCCACCCCAGCCTCCCCATCAGGATGCTGACTCATGATTCCTCCTGCAGGCCTTCTGAGCCCGTGGGTGACGAGCGACACAGAGGATCAGTGCTGGCACCCAGCAGTACAGACAGGCCATTACCTCTGGCAGCTGGGACTGGAGGCTGGCCTTCTCAGCCAAGGCATCATCGATGGACTCCAGGAAGCTCCTCTCTACCACATCGAAGGCCTGAAGGGACACAGGGCAAGGCAAGGGCTGGCTCAAACAATACCATCACCTCCTGCTAAGATGTCCCTATGGAGAGTAACAGATCCACGGCATTCATGGCAGATCCCATGTGACGGGTGGGTGACACACATCATTTCTGCCTCACATGTGGGCCTTCCTGTCCACTGTTTGACAAAGACCTTTAGCTGTGGGATGGGAGAAGGGTGCTACCTAGGCAGCCTGCGAAGGAATCAGAGAGGCAGGAGCAAGGGCCAAGTCCTGTGCTCAAGACTAGTGAGGTGTAAACTCTAGCGCTGCACACTGGGGTTCGTGTGAAGTGAGAGACTCTACCCACAGCACCAGGCTCACAGGAGTGCTTGGTCAATGAGTCTGTGGTGACATGGAGACCTCAGCTGAAGAGGCCTTGGTCAGGACCTGATGGTCACTGGGGAAGCAGAAAGCTTCCCCTGGTATAGCCTCTGCAAAACTCCAGTCTAGGAGCCCTGAGGCAATGGAGAACGGGAAAAGGCTGGGGCAATTTCTCAAAGACCAAGAAGCCTTCCTGGGTAGAAGGAAATCCCAGCACACCAACAAAAGAAACACAGCCCTGGCCAATGAGGTGTAGGCCAGAACCGGAGTGGGGATAGTTGCTGAACATGCAGGATGCCGTCAGCACTGGAGAATGAGCACCTAACCACATCCCAAGCAAAGAGGTCACTGGTAAGGACCTTATCCTCCCAGGGCCTCCATTCTCCACTCCAGGTGATGCCTCCTCCCAAGTCAGCCCTGCTACCAATGGAAAAGCTGCTGCTCCCCGCCTGCCCTAGACTCCTGGGGGGCAAGGAACCCTTGCTACTATCAACTGTACCCGGAATTGATCTTTGGTAGGGGATGAAAAAGCAGGTAATCTTCAAATCACCCTGTCCACATTTAGAACTGCAGGGCCCAAGTTCCAGAGAAGAGAGGCTACTGGCAGCCAGCCCAACCCCTTACCTGCAGCAGGACCCGCCGCACATCAGCCTCAGTGTGTTCAGTGTTGAGCTGACCCAGCAGCAGCTCTGCAGAGAGCCTCTGGGCCACGAAGTTGGTCACCCGGTTGCCATCATAGCCATTGAAGACCCCATACAGGAAGCAGTTGTTTTCACTTCTAACAGAGGGAGGGCAGGAAGAGGGCTGAGACCAGGGGCATGAAGGTGATGGGGAAGGAGGAACGGAATCGGGGAGGGGCTAAAGGCAGAAAAGGCTTCAGGTATTCATCTAGGCCCCACATGGTGGCCATCATTTCACTATGAAAATGACCTGCTTGCTGATCCTCCCTCTCAGCCTACTCCATCCTTACCCCATAGCAGGCCCTTGGCTTAACTAGACATGGAAAGGACCACAGTAGTGGTCACTTCCCACAGGCCCCACTTCACAGGCAAGCCTCGTACACAGTAGTGGCAAGACAGAATCTTTTCCTGCTCATGAACCGACTTTCTCTATCCAATACAGCAATGCCACACGTACCTGAACTTGAGCCAGTTGTCCTCTGGAGGGTGGCTCTCGAGGCCCTTACCATCAGCAGAATAGCTACGGTTGGAAGCTGAACCGACTCCAGAGAGATGACAGAGTGGCAGGTCATCCGTCCAGCTTGGCTGCTGCTCCTGAGAAACACCAGGCAACTGTGAAAGCCCGCCATCTTCCCCAGATCCCATTGCACCTGCTTCTCCAAGTCCCGGAAGATGGTTTTGTCTGGGAAATGGCACTTCTCTGAAGAGACCCTTACAAAAAGGTTTCCTGTTTTCGTGGTGTATCCACAAACTGGTTCCCATGGAAATCCTAAAACGGCAGCATTCCCAAGTGGAAAGCTCAGCATGGCTTCTCAGAGAGAGCTGCAATACAAGGCGGGGAACGCTAGTGCAGCACACAGGCCTAAGCCCAACTTAGAGGACTCTTTGGTCACACTCCTCCCACAAAGGTTCTGACTGGGCAGCACGAAGGAAACCAACTGCAGAACGCTGCCCCGGCGGCACAATGCCTGACCTGGGTGCAGCCTGGGTTGTCTGCGTTATAAACAGCTTCCCACACATGCTCTCAGGAAGGTAGCTGGGACCTGGCCTTCGGAAACTCCAGCCTGCAAGTCAGTCTGTCATCCTTCCTGATATGGAGGCCTCCACCTGTGTCCCTTCCCATCTCCCCCACCACATCTTCTCCAACAGCTGCGGCCTGAAGGACCATGCACACCCTTTTTCTTGTCCACCAAGTCTTCTGGGATCACCGACTGAGGGGTCACTGCCTAGTGTACTCATACTGCACCCTGGTTCCATCTCTCATGCCTACAATTGACTTTTATCCCATCCTACCAGATCTCAAACCAAGATGTTTTGCAAAATAACTGCAGACACTCTCTCTCTCTCTCTCTCTCTCTCTCTCTCTCTCTCTCTCTCTCTCTCTCTCTCTCTCTCCAAGTTTTGGCCTAAACATCCAATTCTTTTTTTTTTTTTAAATACAAGATTTCTCTGTATAGCCCTGACTGTCCTGGAACTCGTCCTGTAGATCAGGCCTGCATCTGCCTCCAGAGTGCTGGGGTTAAAGGCATGTGCCACCACTGCCAGGCAAACATCCAAACTCTTAATTTTGTAAGGTTCCTAGAGGTGGCCCGTAAGCATCTGTATCTTCTTTTATTTCTTTCTCTTCCCCTTTCCTTTTGGAGGTAGGACTTATTAGTAGGCAAGACACAGCAGTAGGAAGCAGCACAATGGAAGCCCTCGTGAGTGCAGGACTCAGGACTATCTGACCCCATGGTCACTGGGGATGGGTTGCTTATCAGCCATGTCTTCGTGTTCATGTGCAATAAACTGGAGAAGACCCTATCTGGCAGCCAGGGAACTTGGTCTTGTGCAAGGCCTCAATTATACATTCTCTATCCTGCAGTTAGGGAGGATGGGCAGAAGGACCTGGCTAAGGTAGACTGTGGCCAGTGTGCCCTGAGGCTCCCCAAAGCACCCTGCATATACAGCTGAGGCCTAGACTGAGACAGCATAAGATTAAAGACACAAACACCCACTGGAAGGCTATCTCAAAGGTCCAGAAAGCAAGTACCCACACGGCAGGCATCAGACCTATATGTGGTACACACGCAGGCAAAACATTCATACATATAACATAAAAATACTTTGAAAAAGTTGGAAAGTTTTATTGAAATATTAAACAATTACAACCACCAGATGCAATTTCTTACATGCTAGTTTTCAAAAAAGGTGTAAAACAGCTGGGTGGTAGTAGTAGATGCCTTTAATCCCAGCACTTGGGAGGCAGAAGCAGAGGCAGGTGGATTTCTAAGTTCACGGCCAGCCTGGTCTACACAGAGAAACCCTGCCTCAAAAAAAAAAAAAAAAAAAAAAAAAAAAAGGCAAAAAAGAAAAAGAAACGAAAGAAAAAGATGTAAAACCACTTCAGCTGGCTGCTCCAGATATGGAAAGAGCTAGCTTCTGTGGCAAATTTCACCTTCTGCTATTTACATAGTGAGAAGTCAGTTTATAGACATACACATCCTCCGATTTTAATTGCTTTTATACCACATTCATCTATTTCAAAGCTTTTGTTCAGTATTTAGTGCCCTGGAGCCACTGTTGCAGGGTGTGGGAGTCTGTTTTATTTTAAATGATCATGTAGTGAAGTTAATCTCTTTGGGTGTGTAGTCATGCTGATACACTAGATATCTGTATTACTACCTCTGGTCAGGACACAGAATGCCTGACACTTCACATCCCTTGGGAGTTTGCTCCACCCACCCCAGGCCTGACACACTGGCCTGTTCACCATCCTGTGGTTTTGCCTTTTTAAGAATGGCATCTGTCAGCCGGGTGGTGGTGGTGCACGTCTTTGATCTCAGTACTTGGGAGGCAGACGCAGGCGGATCTCTGTGAGTTCAAGGCCAGCCTGGTCTATAGAGCGAGATCCAGGACAACCAGGGCTACACAGAGAAACCCTGTCTTGAAAAAAAAGAAAGGAAGGAAGGAAAGGAAACAGCACCTGCCTAACCTGCTCTGCACTTCCAGTTGGCTTAGGCCTCTGGGAGTCCCCAGTGCAAGGCCATCTGTCAAAGCATGTGGTTGGTGTACAACCCTGTAAGGCTGGCTTCTTTTGTGCATGCTGCCCTTGAGATTCAGCCACATTGTTGCTTGGATGCAGTAACAGCTTGCTCATCTTTCCCATAGTTCTCTTTTCTCATTGTTGGACAAAGGAGGAGTCTGCTTATCCCCAATGCTCTAAAGGACTACATTTGGGCAACATTCATGTGCAAGCTTTTATCTGAGTTTAACTTTTCTTTTTTTTCCTTTTTTGGTTCTTTTTGAGACAGGGTTTCTCTATGTAGCTTTGGTGCTGTCCTGGATCTCATGCTGTAGACCAAGCTGGCCTTGAACTCAGAGATCCACCTGACTCTGCCTCCTGAGTGCTGGGATTAAAGGCGTGTGCCCTGCCTAACTTTTCATTTCTTTTGGTAACTACCTAGCTGCTTGGGTCACAAACATCTACTGGAAGGCTGACATGCATGTGGTACACACACATACAAAAACAAAACACCGGCCGGGTGGTGGTGGCACATGCCTTTAATCCCAGCACTCGGGAGGCAGAGCCAGGCGGATCTCTGTGAGTTCGAGGCCAGCCTGGTCTACAGAGCGAGATCCAGGACAGGCACCAAAACTACACAGAGAAACCCTGTCTCTAAAAACTAAACAAACAAGCCGGGCGGTGGTGGCGCACGCCTTTAATCCCAGCACTCGGGAGGCAGAGCCAGGCGGATCTCTGTGAGTTCGAGGCCAGCCTGGGCTACCAAGTGAGTTCCAGGAAAAGGCGCAAAGCTACACAGAGAAACCCTGTCTCAAAAAACCAAAAAAAAAAAAAAAAAAAAAAGAAAAAAAAAAAAAACTAAACAAACAAAACACCAGGTCCAATTAAAAGGATGTTTAGCTTTTTCTTTTAAATTTCTTTATAGGGCCGGGAGTGATGGTACACACCTTTAGTCCCAGTACTTGGGAGGCAGGCCAGCCAGAGCTGATGACCCTGTCTCAAATATGACAGAGAGATAGGTTGATACTTACTATTTTAAACTTATGTATTTGTATATGTGAGCAAATACCCTATGTGCATGGCTGCTCCTGGAAGCCTAAAGGGGGAACTAGAACCTGAGGCGTGGTAAACCACTGGACAGGGGTTCGAGGAGTAAAATTAAGTCTTCTGGAGGAGCCAACAAGGATTCTTAACTGCTCCAGCCCCTGGGTGTGTAGCTTTAGCAGAGCAGCTGCACCACGTGTACTCTGGCCAGCAGCAAGCACTCCAAGGGGACGGCGTCCTGGTCAGCACTGGGTATCATCTGTCCGTTCTTTACTTCAGAGACTCTATAAAGTATGCCTGATCTCGTGGGGTAATTTGCATTTCCCTAACACTTAATGATACTAAAACATCTTTTTACTTGCTACCCACAGGTCCTCTCTGGCAAGCATTTTATTTTATGCCTCCTTTTGAACTGTATTGTTTAACAACAGAGTTCTGAGAGTTCTTTATATATTTTGCAGTACGGTCCTTTGTTGACTACATGATTTGTAAATACTTTCCCAAGTCGGTAGCTTGCCATTCCATTTACCTCATATTGGTTTTGGTAGAATAAACATAAATTTTTGATGATTTCAATTTTATTGATTTCTTCCTTTTATGGTCTGTGCTGTGAGTCATATCCAAGAGCTCCTTGAGCAGCCTAGGCCATGAGAACCTCACATTCACTAGAAATTTTACAGTTCTATGTCTCCATTCGAGACCTCTTTTGAATTAATCTCTGTAGCAGGAAGCTCCAGGTCAATGTCCCTCTGCATATAGCTGTCCAATGGTTCTAACACCACCCTTGAAGATCAGCATCCTCCACTGAGTTACCATCAGACCTCTGCTGTGTTTCTGGACTCTGTTCTGTTCATCTCTGTGATGAACATTTTATCCCTTCAGCTTTGTTATAGGACATCTTAAATTCACCTGTAGCACCAGTGATTCTCAACCTTTCCCATGCTGTGACTCTTTAATACAGCTCCTCTTGTTGGTTGTAGTGACCCTAACCATAAAATTATTTCATTGCGAGCCGGGCGGTGGTGGCGCACGCCTTTAATCCCAGCACTCGGGAGGCAGAGGCAGGCGGATCTCTGTGAGTTCGAGGCCAGACTGGTCTACAGCGCGAGATCCAGGAAAGGCGCAAAGCTACACAGAGAAACCCTGTCTCGAAAAACCAAAAAAAAAAAAAAAAAAAAAAAAAAAAAATTATTTCATTGCTATAATTTTGCTAGTGTTATGAATCGTATGGAAATATTTGAGATGCAGGATCTACAGGTTGAGAACCGCTGACCTAGGATTTCTCTTACTGTATTATTTTTTCTCTAAGACTGTTTGGCTAGTCTAGTTTCTCTGCCTTCCCATGTAAATTTTAGAATTACTTTCCCTATATGTCTGTGTGTGTGCGCACGCGCGCACACACACACACACACACACACACACACACACACACACACACACACACACACACACGTCTTGTCGGGAATCCAGGCCTACAAGTACCAGCCTGTAATTCCAACATTTGAGAAGCTGAGGCAGTAGGATCACAAGTTTGACACCAGGCTGG